ATATATACCTTGCCCAACTGAGCCCTGGAATTTTCTACAAAATAGGAGAAGCTATGATGTAACAATACGCACTTAAGACAATGAGAAAAATACCGAAGATTTGAGTAATGTGACATTAAAAATGCTACAACAATTAAACTGCATACACAACATACAACTCCTACAGAGTTATGTAATGAAACTTGTCATAACTATCACCTTCAAAATGATTAACTTTAACACACTTGTTATAAATATTTAATCACTAAATAAACTAAATAATAACTATTAAGTTAAACAGTCTTGTATATCTAACAAAAACATATAATTATGGAATACAACTTTCAATGTACACAATCTTTTTTTGAAAACAAAAAACATCAACCGGTTTGGGGGTTCACAAAAAATTTTTAATTAAAAGGGGTCCTCATGTTACTAAAGTTTGAGAACCAATGGTCTCTTTCCCTAATTGCCCAGGTAAACCTGTGAAACAGTTGTTTAAATAGATATATGTCACCTGTATCTATGTAATGTTGAGTGACTGTAATTCAACCCAATTGCCCATCAGGTCCTGTAAACACACAAGCATAAAACAAGTGACTGACCTGTTTGCCACAGTATTGAGCCTAGATTTTCTGTACACCCCTCTACTAGCAATTTCAGGTGTGTTGGTATGCAATTGTCTAATTTCAGACATGATGCAATCCTAGCATTCTCACTAGCATTGGTTGCTTCCACTTTGCTTATTGTGTCAATAACCATTACAACTTGTAGCTGTATACTTCTCTTGGAGAAATATTTGCTCAAGCTAATGCTGCTTGTGTTATAGATAGGAAATGGCCTATTTCATGAGTAGCCTCAATAACTGTGTTTTATGGCACCAAGGTAATAGACACTGTGTGAAGTAAACTGTGAAACAAATGGTGCAGATCATACATATAAGTGGTCAAGCTTTCCATGGATTCCCTCTTCCAAGCCTTGAAAATCACCCTGATGGATTACTCTGTTCTCCATCGGATTGAACCTTCAGCACAACTCATTGATGAATATTTTGCAGTTTCAAAGTCACTCCTCATCCAAGTGCTCAATCAAATTCAGGGTTTTACAATCAAGAATCAACACAAGGAATTGAATTACCTGTTTGGGAGTCCACTTGTTCCAAGACAGAAACATTTTTAAAGATGGCCCACATCCTCTTTTGCTGAACTTTTAAATGTTGCACAAGTGATTTGCTTAGCTTCACTCACAGGGATCTGTGGGTGTTATCAAACAGCCCCATTACTGACCCGTCAACTATTACCTAATAATGAGGTTCATAACATTGTCAGCTCAATATGGTTGGGGTATTCAGGTGATCCAGTGCTCCAACAGGCAGTGGGCCCATGATTTTGGAGGCAGAGCAATGAGGTGTGCATGGCAGCTTACTTCTGGCCTCTATTAGACCCCAAACTCCTCCATGGATCACTTTCATGTCAGCAGTATACTTTCTGACTTGGGGAGGCTCACCACTTCCCCACAATCCACTCAGCACTTGCAATCTCACTGTAGTGTTCACCAATGATGTCACTAGTCCTTCTCCCTCCTGGTGTGGCAACCAGAACTGGTGTTATGCTTTGGTTGGTGTTGGTCTAGGAGTCCCGTACAGACTCCCCAAGTAGTCTTAAGTTCTTCAGATGCTACAACTCCATAGTGACTATCAAGCTGTGTAACCCTTATAATGAGGTTGACTCTTATTAGGAGAACCTAGGATAGATGATCTGAGTACATCAGATGCCAACAGTTCTTCCTGAGTCATGGGCTGCAATGAGACTGCTGTAATGGACCAGTGCAGCAATAGCAAATGTCCAGCATCAAGGAGATGGCTCCTGGTAAACATGATTACTCTCTCAGATGGTCATCTCTCCTCAAGCCAACTCTCCCTCTATGTCATACATCCTTCTCTATGTAGAAAATGCCATTTGAAAACAAAGAATTATATTTACTTGTTTCAATCAAAGAGTTAAGGGCAATGCACACTCCAGTAATTATCAGCAAAAATTGCAATTACCGATATCCTGTGATCACAGTTCAAACATTTCTTATTACTTATCTACTGAGTGGTATATCCAGGTGAGCTGAATATATATTTGAGGTATATCTCATACGTCTGCTTAATGGGAGATTCGAACAAGATATGAAATTACAGAATAAATAATGATGAACTTGTACTGGCTGAGTTTAAGCTAAATAATAAATGGACTGAAAAAAATGCACTACACAATGAACATAATCTGGAACTTAAAACAAAATCACAGTGTGTGTACTTGCTAATGTAAAACAAAAACACAGTGTTTGTAGTTGCTTACAGTGGACTTTTGCTTCTTCACTGAGTCAAGATCAGGTCAATCTTGAACGAGAATGGGAACTGAACTACCTAACAGAGAGATCTATACTTAAAATAAAATCTCACATTTACCAAGCATGACATTATTACCACATGACTCATCTTCTTATTCCATGTAGGTTGCTTCATGATCTCTAGATACAACCTATACAACCAGTGAAAAGCATTACTCTTGACATTCTGAAATGAAGTCATGTGTAGCAATGTTGTCCGTGGGTAGTAAAAAGATACACCTAATTTTGATAATAACACAGAAAAGAAAAGGTCATTTGAAACAAGATTGACTTAATGCTTTTCTTTTTTCTTGATCATGTGTTATGTGAATACCTACAAATATTCCAATCAAAGAATAAATTCTGAATAAATGTTAGTACTATAGGAAGAAGAAACTTATGATATATCACAATACCAATACCCACTGACTTTTCTTTCAGCAAGTTCCATCAGATATTCTCTAATTTAGACTTTATCAGAATCTCTTTTTATGAATCTAACAATTGTTACTTGTGAGTGATATCGAGAATATCACTCAATATACAATGGAGTTGTACTTTGCAGTTTTTGCCAAATTCATGATGCTATGAATGATATTACCACAAAGCATGTGATAAATGCTCGTGGAATCATCTAGATTTCGAGCCTTCTAGTAAAGAATTGGTTATTCTGGAATTAAATTTACTTTAATTTTAATCAATCTTTTTTTTCCCACTAAATTTTAGTATTTATATAAATCTCATATTTTCTCTCTCATGTTTCTACTTGCCTTCATTTTATTTCTTTTTTCATTTTGTTATTTTTTCTGTTTTTGTATTTCCCTGTCACTACTTTTCTCACTAACCCTACATTTTGTCACCCTAATGCAAATGTCTACTTTGCCTACATTACATGCTAAGGTTGGCATTGTTTGCATGTGTATAATAGCAGAATAAATCTCCAAATTTATTTATGTACATGTTTATATAAATTATGCCATTTTGTATTTGTTAAAGTACAGATTATGATATGATACTACGAACGAGATCAAATTGAGAGTTAAACAATTAGAAATGAAATTAAGTAAATACACAATACCATGTAAAGCAATCTAAAATAAAGTTTTGATCAACTATTATGGAACAATGGAACAAAAAAGTTTAGACACGTACAAGTGCGTATCTGTGATGTCACTCTATGGTTATAATTTGGTGATTGTGCTATGTCACCCGTACCACATTTTCTTGGGGACGTTTTGAAGATGTAACTGAGACGCTATATATAACTCTCACTAACTGAAAGATATAAGAATTAAATTTTATCTTCTTTTTTTTGCCCCCCTCCCCAGTGGCGGTATGTATGCGGACTTACAATGCTAGAATCAGGGTTTCGATACCCGTACATGGTGGGCAGAGCACAGATAGCCCATTGTATAGCTTTGTGCTTAATTACAAACAATTGTCTTCTTTCAACATTCAAACTTTGTAAACCATTTTTTGTATGAGATATATTTTTCGTAATGCCATAGAATTACAGAAACATTTAAATTGGGCTGTTTGACCATTTACAGATTTAATAATTTAGAAACTCTTTATACATGGGTAATAATGAAACAATTGCACTCTGCAATTTCACTAGTCAGCAAATTCCTATAATATAATTATAACAAAATAATATCATATCTATTATTTTTCTTTATGGGCCTAATGTCAAGGGATCAATATGTAGACTATTTTTATACTGACACAATACAATAATTATCAGAGATTTTTCACTTTTAAGAGCACATATATTTACCATATATATTATTTTTATTTTATATATTTGTACTGATCTATTGTCACTAGTTTAGTATTTTGAGTAGCTATGATTACTGAGCTTTTATGCAATCTCTGACAATTAATTTTTCAGTATTTCATTACTTCTCAATGTACTATTATAGATGAAATATAATTTATTTACTCAATGTTGTGTGATATGTATGTTTTTATTGAGAAATAAAAAGAAACCAACAGTATTTTCTTAAATTAAGATGAGTTTCAAGTCTTGGAAAGGTTAATATGTGATGTCATAATGAGAGGTAGTTGTGGCGTTTCTGAGAGTCTTTACTTTTGACATGTCTGTGACTTTACAGTGAAACAACTGTGATGTATTGGAGAGGTCACATTCTTTGGTGGTAATGGATCTAAACTTTATTTTAAACTAGAAATAAGCCTGAAAGAATTCTGAATGTGAAGGCCAAACTTTCAACTTATTCTTTATAAATAAGAAAATAATGATCCACAAAGGATTATTCAACCACTTAACTAAAGTAATTATATATAAAAAAAGTTATGAAATACAAACATACAGCAGTTACTGTGTTAATGAGTTCTTCTGAATTTTAATATTGACAGTGAAATAGTTTTGAAAGCCTTGTGTTCAAATATTACATAACTTGAGATGCTACAATGTGTCATAATCTTGGCAAAAGGAAAAAGCAAGCTGTGAACTGATGCATTATTGTGTCTTATTCTAACTTCAGTTTCTTTTTTCTCTGTGTGTGTGTAAGATACTGTTATCAAAATAAAATTATAGCATACTTAAAACAAAAAGGGATTTGAACATTTTTTAAGTGTAGGACTTTAACTTGTAAACAAGTTTAATATTTTAAGTCATAATTTACCCTTTCACCAGCAGACAGAGATATATTCAGAACATTTTCTTGAACTCTGAAGAAAAACTTTTTCCAAGAGTGCCAGCCTCGATCTTTCAGCCACAAGTAATTCTGGACAGTAGGAACTGGATCATTTGTATGAAGCATATTCTATAAAAAATAATTTCTGTATTAAACCAGAATGAACAAAATCTGTATTTTCTTTATACTTTATAAAGTATTCCACGATCTTCCAAAATTTATTTCAATCATAACTCTTTCCAAATGATATTAAGCAACTTGTATATAACTTGAAGAAGCTGTTAAAGGTTTTGGCAGTATTCGATGATCTTGACCTGTAAGTCATTTAATGTTACTAGTGTAGTATTAATTATTTAGTCACACAGAATATGAACAAGGAACATGCAAATGTGTATGATATAAAATAAAGACAGGTTTCTTATTGAACTTAAATTATTGACATTTTAACATTGTATTACAAGTGATTATATCTTAAAAATTTAATTGTGCTAGAGGAACAAATTTTCAACATACTCATATTGAAAATCAAATTTTATTCAGGTTTGATAAAAGAGTTAGCACAAAGGATCACATATAAAGTGTAATAGAATTAAAATAAGACCCAAAACTCGAGTGCTTTCTGAAGAAGAATAGTCACCTATTTGAAATCACTCGAGTTTTGGGTCTTATTTTAATTCTAAATTTTATTCAGGAATAGATTCATTCGACAGGAATCGAAGTTTAATGAGGAATAACAAGACAATGCCAGTAACAACAAACATTTGACACATGTATGTTCAGTAACAAACATTTAATTCTTGAACGTTTTGAAATATACATGTTCCATCTTCAGCAAGCTATAATGAACATGGTAAATTAATAGGTACAGACATTTTATAAAGTTTAAACATTCTATGAAAGTAATTAAAATACAGAATAAAAGTATGAAATATATTAAGAGACAAACAAATAAACAGACAATAGAGTCATGCAACAATATTATACAAGTACTCAGAACAGACTTAATTGTAGTGAAGCTGTGTTATTATTTAAAGTTGGGAGCTCATTTATAATAGATAAACTTTCTTTAACTAAAAGTTAAATACTTGATGATCCAGATGAGATGACTTTGAAATTTGTAATCAAGATGGGGTGGTTAGTGTTTTCACTGTGTGTGCAAATTGTGTCAAATGTTCATTGTTGCTGCTGTCATCCTGTGGTTCATTATTCAGGAATGTTTGAACATGGTAAAGTGTGTTTCAAAACCATGTTATATTGTATATGTGCCTAAACCACTTTTCTCACAAATTAGCACTGCTTTAATTTTTTTTTTCCTCACTCCATCAACAACATGGAATTGGTAATTTAAATCAAATTTGTGTCAGTACGTAGTATATTGCAAGACTCAAGAACATTAATTGGAACAGGTATTGTATTTTACATTTAAGGCAAAGCTACTAAGACTAGCTGTCACTGTCCCTAACTTTGATTTACTGACCAGAAAGAAGTAAACCATTCAGCAGTTACTTAACATCCAAGCTAAGAGATTGACAGTAATTCTTATAAAGCAATAACAGCATAAAGTTTGAGGAATAGTTTGTATCAGGGAGGCAGTAGCAGTGCCTTGGTAGGAATGGCTGAGATTGTTCATCAAAATGGTGTTTTAAATATCTCCTAAAAGGTCATCAGAACTTTACAATACTATACAGTGTTTCCTTTTAGAACAATATCTATGTAATGAATGAATCACAAGTTCTGTGAATGTCTGTAAATGTCATAGCAAAATGTTTGAATTTCTTATTATTCTTTCTTCTTTTCCTTTTTTATTAAATGACAATCCAAAACCAAAACAATGGTGTCACCAATTTCACTGAGGTGACATAGTTTCAAATGAAGTATCCACTTATATAAGTATTATTAATAACTAGTAGTAATTTAAAAAAAATCATAGTCCTAGTGTAAATGTGCCCAGCATGGCCAGGTGGTTAGGGCGCTCGACTCACAATCTGCGGGTCGCGGGTTCGAATCCCCGTCCCATCAAACATGCTCGCCCTTTCAGCCGTGGGGGCATTACATTGTGACGGTCAATCCCACTATTCATTGGTAAAAGAGTAGCCCAAGAGTTGGCGGTGGGTGGTGATGACTAGCTGCCTTCCCTCTAGTCTTACACTGCTAAATTAGGGACAGCTAGCGCAGATAGCCCTCGTGTAGCTTTGCGCAAAATTCAAAACAAACAAACAAACCTAGTGTAAACAATGTTATCATTAACCCTTAAAGTTAGCTTTCTTACAGAAATCTGATGTTCCTTTAAAAAGCTTGAGTACAGGGTTAAAAAGGAATACCAGCCAATAATATATAAACATCAAACAATAAATATTACAGTTGGAACCTCATTGTATTTAGAACTTGGTTATAAGTACATCCTTCCCAAAAAATGGAAGTAAATGCAAACAAAATAGTAGGGATGACATTTGCATCATTCCTACACAATAGCACAGGCAAGAATTATCATATAGCAATATATATAACTGCTACGACAGCGAAGGTCACGTGATGCTAGTAACACGTCATGCGCTTCTCCCATGTTCACGTCCCTTCCTGAAGTCTCGAGAGGCTACTAGATATGCGGTAGTCTTGTAAATATATGAGCCGCCAAGATCTGATGGCAACAATATGTGTAATTGAACTACGGACAGAGAGAGACGTATTATTGAGTCAAGCACGTGAGACGTTCATTGTGAATTATAGCGTTTGTTATAGCGCGACTGTGGAAATTAAGTGTATTGCAAAGTTGTATTCAGAAAGAATAAACCAGTTTTACTTAAGAAAAGACTTGTGTCGCTAAAGTTTCATCGGAAAGAAATTATACAGAAAATTAGCTAACGACCAGAGACGTAACATAACTATTCAGTCACAGTTCGGTTTATTGTATCCTATTTTTGTCTGTTAACATTCTACTACACTTTATGCCTGTAATATTGTGTATGGATGGTGCAAATGCCATTCCTGCTATCTTTTTTGCAATATTTTTGAAGGATTGATATTAGTCATTCCTACATTTACTTCCTTTTTTGAAAAGTTTTTTCTTTACTTGTATCACATAGATTTGAAGCTGGCTCACAAGCTTCAAATTCTAGTATTCTACCACATAGCCAACCTGCACCCTGATGCTTGAACTAGTTTTATTAGGAATATATAGATATACTTGGCATGCTTGAGAACACAGAAAGTTCAACAGACATCTTCTGTGACAGTTTTTGAAATAACTAAATACAATGTCCAAATTTTGTGATTACAATTTAAGAACCTCAAGGTGTCTCTGGTGAAATTCAGCACTCTTAGGTGAAATGTGTTTTAAAAGTACAATTTTTTAAATATGGGATTTTATTTATAATTACCCTGTAGTTAAAACATTGGAATGATGTGTTCCTCAAAGATGAAAGCTGGAATGTCAAGTATACTACCATATGCTCAAATTCACAAGTTCAATGCTTAAATGTAAATTTTTCTATAATTTAATATCCAAAAATAAAGTAACATAGCGCAACTTAACCATCCTTCATTTTAAAAACAAAATGTAAACATATTTTAACTATTCGTTGAAATTCAAGGAGCTCACTAAACTGCTACAATACTGTTGTTTTCCGAGTGTTTTATTTTCTTATGGATAAGTTTTTAGTTTTTTAAAGAAGTATGTTTGGCATGTTCTATGGTAACTTGTTTAAAACACTCATCCTCATTAATAGCCTTGAAGGAATATACATGACTACATGATTTAACTTGACTTCATTGTTCTGTGTATGAAGAACAAAGACATCTATTTCAACTGTATTCCTTTCTCTTAAGATAGAATTAATGGAAAAGGTAAAAGAAATGCAAAATTAAAATCAGTATGTAAGAAAAACACCCATTACATTTTTAATTTTTACAGTGAATGATAATTATAAAACAATCTGACAAAAATGTTTTTACAATCTACTTCTCAATAAACAACTACAAATAAATAAAATAACAACACATTTCATGTAACTACTTCCTCAAAGCAGACAATTTGTAATTTGCCAGTCTAATTATATTTGTCAAACAGTGTGATGCTGTTAGCATAACATGGTTGTCAAAACAGTGTGACAGCTCTTAGCAAAGCATGGTTGTATCTGTCAACTTCTGTGACAGCTGTAAGCAAAATGTGATTGTATCTGTCAAACTCTGTGACAGCTGTTAGTACAGTCGAACTTCCCAGATCCAACAATCTCTTTTCTGGCACCACCCATTTTTCAGCTAATTTTATGGAAATAGACAGATATTACTTTTACAGGAAAATGTTTTAACCATGCTTATGTCTTTTCTGTTTGATGTAAAATACTGAAGTACAGTTGTGTCCAACAAATGTAATTGTTTTCTCTTTTCTTTTCAGAGTGGTCTGCAGCTTTCAAGAAATAATATAAAATCCTGTACAATACTGTACTTATTACTTTAGTTTTTAGTGTACAATAAAATACTATTACGACAGCGGAAGGTTGGTAACACATAATGATTATCTAGAAGATTCGTGAAAAATGCTAGTGCGTGCTATGCATGCGTTTGTGTTACGACAGCGGAAGTCAAGTGACGCTGTTAGCACGTGATGAGTGTCTAGAAGATTCTCGAAGAGGCTACGCGGGCGATATTATCGTATATAAGTGCGCTAGACAAAGGAGACAAGTAGAGAAAGAGAGAGAGGGAGTGGGGAGCCAAGGACAGCAGTTACAGTTGGTGGGAACCGAGGATAGCAGATACAGAGATCGGAACTATAGTTGCTGACAGGCGGAGATAGAGATGGACAATTAAGTCAAGCGTGGTAGTAAAGTGAGTGAATTGTTGTGAATTATAGCATGTGTTTAAGTTAAAGTAACTGTAGAAATTAAGTGTATTGCAAAGTTGTATTGAGGAAGAATAAACTAGTTTTATATAAGAAGGCAGAAAAATTAACAAACGAACATACAGAGACGTAACAATACTTTCCCATGCATATTACCTTTCTCTTGATGTAGAATACACTGTACAGTACTATGTACAATAAAATGCAGCATAGAAATGCAGTTTTCTTAAATTTTCTTTTCATTTATGTCTGACTATAATATGACCACCCAAAATCTGGCAAACTCCAAGATCTGTTAAGGCTCAGGTCCCAAGGTTGCCATATTTGGGAGGGGCGACTGTATAAGGTGGTTGTATCTGTCAAATAATGTGACAGCTGTTAGCATAATATGGTTGTTCCTATCATACAATGTGATGCTGTTACCAAAATCTGGTTGTATCTGACAAACTCTGTGACAACTATTAGCATAAGATGGTTGTATCTGTCAAACTGTTAGCATAGCATGCACATGGAACAAGATTTTTGTTCTCACATTACTCTGTACAAATCATTGAACATATTTATGTATTTTACCTGAACAGTTATATCTTTGGCAAGACTTGCTGACTTTGGAATATATTCCAACTGACATCCATGATCCATCACCTGAAAAGAACAAAACTGCTAGAAAGTAGAAATACATCAAAACAAAAACACACACCCATAGATAAACATTTTTTTTTCATAAAGAAATTTTCAAAAATTTGCTAAATTTAGCAAACTCATGTCAAGTAACTTGAAAGACAAAATTTAAAATTTTACCATTTTCATGACAACCTACATATAAGAATATAATAAGTTTTTGCACATAATTCACATCAATAAATAAATGTAATGAACAAAGTTACATCATTAATAAACAAGTTAGTATCAATGTGTATGAACAAAATATATAAATATAGTTGTTCACAGCTATATAAGATGTGATCTTTTTGAGAAAAAGGACAATAACCTGGATTTTATAGTCCATAGTTTTCAACTTTTTTAATATGCTTATGATGAAATATGTCTACTTCAAGATGTACAAACTGTAACTAAATAGATTACTCATTATTTACATAATTAACATATACGATTGAGAAAGACCAAGCAAGCAAGTACTAGAGTTAGTACAAAAGGGAGAAAACATACATTAATTTGTTAATTATCAATACTTCTAAGGCAGGAAGTAACATTTTCATGTACTAAAGCATTCTTCTATTTAAAATGAAGCACAATATCTCTTTCTTAATATTTTAAGCTTAAGCATTTTCTAGTGGCACAACTTACTTGTCCCCCTGAAATAAATTTACATAATTCTTAATACCTTAATGAGAATTTATTTGTTTAATAATCACTAGATTTTTTTGTTATTCAAGCTTACCTGTGAGCTTCTAAAAAATTTGTACTTCTCAAAGTCTTGTCTGAAGACAAATCTGTTTCCAACTGATTCACTATCCCAAGCATAATAGACTTGTAGCACTTCTTCATGATCTTCAAGGCTTCTCTCTAACAGATATAAAAATCAACGAACACTATTCAAGGTCAAACACTATGAAAGTTTCCTCCCATAACATGTCTACTAAGTACTTCAAATAAAACATGTAAATAGTACACAAAATTAAATATATCATTAATTGTCTTGTTGTTTTGTTTTGGCTAATTAATGTCTGTCTTTCTGGTGATTTAATGGTTATTTGGTCTCCACAACTAGAGATTCAAGGACAAAGTATGCAGAAGGATAAATAAATTAGTTTGTTACATTGGAATGAAGGAGATAAGAAAATATACTGAATTTGGAATTAAAATAAAAGTAAGAGAATGACTGATCCAATAGTGGTAGACTATTACAACGTGAAATAAAGAAAAATGTGAAGTAACTGAAAAGTACACAATCAGCAGAATGAAGAACGTAAAGTTGAAAACAAATATGTGATTTCTACATGTTCTGGCTCCTTCAAAGTTAAAATAAATCTCTTGAATGTGCAAACCTGCATTCAACATACACTCTCTCTGTAGTTCACCTACTGGAACATTGAACCAAAAGAATTTGGAAGTATCTGTGCTCAATATGCAAATTTTAAAGTAGTCCTCTGTATCCAAGTTAAAGGTCATAATGCAACTATCCCATGAAACTGTAAATAAGTTCCTTGATCAGATCTTCTACAGAAAGCAAAGTTATGTGGTATTTTCGTGAAATATTCTCATTCAACATAGAGGAGACCAGAACCTCAAGGTATCGCCTGTTCTACCATCAATGACACTGCTGTCATCAACACTGTTGTACAACATGTTGCATTACATAAGTACCACCTGTGACCAGAAGAGGTATTATCTCTAGAGAACAAAAAAGACAGCTAGAATGATATCAAATTAAAGGTTTTATGGACCATGTGTTATGTGAAAGCTGTGTTGGTTAAGAATAAACAATTATTTTTGAAAAATTCTCCATTAAAATAAGAAAGAAGAAAATTTGTGCCAAGCTTACATAGCACACTTTTCCTTTCCTCTCTGTTTCAGGCTTGCCCTCAAGCCAACAATAAAATTTAACTTAAAAAACCAATTAAAACTTTACACTCACAACATGGTCAAGAAATGCTTTAATTTCCAATTCTACTTGTATATTTTTTATATGCAATATGGATGACACAACCCTAAAACGAAGTACAACTTACAACTCAAACCCTTTAACCAAATGTACATGAAGTCAGTCTAATGGACCAGCCCTAAACTGCAAAAGAAATGTTGACTATACATCCGAATTTACTAGGTATATCTACATGAAATGTGGCAAGCTTTTAGTAAAATGTACAAGTCGGTCATACACAGAAAAATCAGATAAGTTACAAAAGTATGTGTACTCAAGAAACATTATTGAATTGATGACATCAGTCTGACTCAGACTTCTGGAACTTCTGTAATGCATATCTACAGTTTTTTCATTATCCCTGTACAACATAACTGGTATCTACTCTCTTTTACCAGAATCTGTTGCTGAATCAGCAATGTAGGGTAAAATGAACCTTTGTTAATTGATATCTAATACATAATACCATGTTCAATGGCACACTGTAAAAGGTCATGGCATGCATACTTTGACCCCAACTTATGCACACAGGGTTAACCACAATTTAAGATATAACATGTACAATGCACAATAAATTGACATTGCAATAAAGAGAAAATCCCTGGTAATAGATTATCATGAAGATGAAACAGTTTTAAACAATGATATGACTTGTATGTATATAAAAAAATCTCCTTTAACAAAAACATACATAAAATGAATAGACATACTTTAACAAAGATTGCAAGCATACACATATACACTCACACACATAGTCAGGAAAGCAGCTTCCAAGGATAAGTGACTTTAAATATCAAATCTGAATTTATGAATTTGTAGGCTGTAATACACTAAGTATAATACTGATCTTTAAAAATTCTAATGGAATTTTATTAGGGAAGAGAGTGACTTAATTCAGATATTAAAAATTGTTCCGAGTTTCAATAATGTTCCTATGAGAGGTCTGTTTGAGCAATAGAATGGAAATTTGAATATTTGGAGTCACAAGTGGAAGCTAATATCCAGATTTGATCTTCCAAAGAATTGCTTCTCTATAAAAGCTAAAGACGTATGGAAATGTTTGCCTGTTAATCTAACATGCTTGTAGAATTGTAACTGTTAAAAGTTGGTTGATTTGGTTCACGTTTAATTGTTTTGATTGTATTTTTTGGTGGATGAAGGAATAACCTAAACTAGTGGCTTTCTTTACCTTACTTTAATTACATTTTTGATTATCACAGACCACTTAACCTAACAAGCTAATAGCTCTCTATATAAGCTCACAGTGTGTAAATTATTTGTTCAAACTGTTTAAATATGTGTTACCATATAATTTTCCATATAGTATTTCAAGTTCTGAGAAATTATTAGTGGGAAATATGATAGATGTACTTAATTTTAATATTTTCCCTAAGATTGTTGAAGAAAAAGTTTGAAATTTAAAAATGGTAAGGCTCCTGGGCGAGATAATATTTTTCCAAGGGTTTAAAAAGAGGTTAAAGGTTGCATATTTAAGCCACTTTCTAAAACTTTATGTGAGTATCTGAGTAGTGGCAGATGCCAGGTGACTGGAAGCTGATTAATGTTACACCTATTTTTAAAGGAGGTGACAAGAATTGTCAGGGTTTTAATAAGTCAATTAGTATTACTTCTGTGGTAGTAAAAGTTGTTAAAAGAGTGATTAAAGATGCTCCGCAAAGACACCTAACAAAGTTTAAACTTTTGTTGGGCAGTCAGCATGGTTTCACATGGGGAAAATCTTGTCTCACAAATCTTTGGACCTTCTTCAAAGACGTCACTATTTATGTTGATAAGGGTAAAGGTGTAGATTTGGTATAACTGGATTTTCAGAAGGCTTTCAACAAGTTGCACATAAAAGACTAGTAAAGAAAATTATTTCTCTGAGTGTGGGTTACAGGTTAACTCAATGGATTAAAAGTTGATTAGAGGATAGAAAGCAAAGAGTTGTAGTAAATAGATTCAATCAAACTGGACTGGAATTACAAGTGGTGTACCTCAAGGCTTTGACCTGGGATCCTTACTCTTTTTTTGATATAAATTAACAATATTCATAAGGATATTGTCAACAAATAGGTCAAGTTTACTGATGACATTAAAGTTTTGGCTTTGAAGATGATGCTGTTGTTTTACAAAGGGATTTGAATCATTTGGCAAATGGGATAAATATATGTCAGATAGCATTTAATTATGCTAAGTGCAAGGTAATGCAAGTGGGCCACCTTAACTTAAATGATAATTACTAATTTGATGGTAATATACTGAATAGTACTATGAAATTAGGTTTTAGCTGAAAAACTGAACAGTAAGCCTCAAACACTCTTTTACAATCAAACAGATTAAAATTGGGTATATAAACAAAAACCACTCAAAATATTAAACAATACTGTTCTTCAAAAATAATTACTGGACTTAAGGCATGACAGGAGACCAATTCATTTTTCAATAACACTGATGCTAGTATCTTAGATAATTTTTTATTATAAAAACAGTATTCTCATATTGAACATTTGTAGTTAAAGCTTTAAAATGGAAATTTTAAAATTAGACAAGCATATTATGCTATCAAAATTTAAAAAAGGACATGTACATGGCTCCAAAAGATAGTCTTCAGCTCACAATGCTGTTACTTTCCTCTCTGTATAAATCATAGCTATAAGGATGCGATACAAAATGTGTTGACTAGATTTCTCACTTTAAACCTGTTATCAACTCTAGTGCACAAAAAACTACTGAAAACTAGAATAAGTAAGTCAGTGTAAAACAATTTACCAATTCCTAGATTTTGAAGCTGTTCAACTATAGACCATGCATGAGATGGTGATAAATTAAATTTCAGTGTCAATAGATGAGATAGGTCAATGCATCTCAGGTCTTCCTCAACAATCATTTGATGATGGCTTTGATCTTCCATGTGAAAGCTCAATGTTACCTGTTAAGTAAAATCATAGGTTCATATTTAATGAACCAATCAAAAACCTTGCATTAAAGTGCAAATTAGTGGAAACAAACATCAGTAACCTCAAAAATAACAAAGCAGCCTACTTAAAGCTAAAGTATATTTTATAGATATGGCCACACACAAAGCAGGTTAAAAAAATATACCTCCATATTTATTTCTTAGATTCCATATATACCTGTAGGGCTTTGGAAGAACATGTGACAAATATAGACGATTACATTTGTATCTGCTGCATCTGAAAAAATTACATTAAAGTGACTTCACAGTTATGTATTCAAATGGATGGTTAGGAACTGCAAATTTATATCAGGATTTCTTCATCTCGCTTTATTTAACCAAATTTCAGAATATTTGGTATGCATATGTAAATTCACAAAAGTTAATAAAAGTTGAAAACCAAAATTCTCAAAATTAAACAAATAGATATTAAAGAAGGCATTAACTTATCTATTTATTTAAGTCTGGAAATGTTTAAAGTTGGATAACTTAAACATTTTATAAAATGATATTTCTAAAAATATTTACCATTATCACAATTTTTTCATTCCCTTAGTGTTCAAAAAGGCATTTTTGGAGAAATATGCATTCAGAATAAGTGGTTAACACTTTTAACATAACATAGAAATCATAATAAAGAATTTTGAAAAATTAATCACACTATGGTATAATTATGAGTTACAACCAAAGTAACTTTCATGTTTGATAGATTTTTAAAAAATGACCTTTATTAATAGTGCTATCTAGTGTTCAAACAAATATCAGATTAAAACTAATTTTGGTATTAAAATATGTTTTCAGCAAAAGTCATCATCCCATGCTGTGGGGAAAGTATATTTGGTCTAATCACATAGTTGTTCTGTGTTATGACAAAGAAAAAAAAAGTGACAATGATTACTCTTGCTTAGAATGACAGCAAATGTTACTAATGTTTCATGATATTCATTTTGCAATTGGTCAACCAATTACTTGTGATCATTTTGTATCTAGAACTGTTTACCAAATCAATGGAACTTACCTAACTATAAGGGAAAGCTAAAACGTTTATGGTGTGCAACTTTACTACAATGAATGAGGGTGAGCTGAAAATTAAGGATAATAAAATGTCTTATGATTGGTAGTTTGTGGCTGTCCGTCAACCAACAAAACTCTGCTTACCGAGTTACCATCTTCACAAGTTGTGAGCTTGGACCACATATGTCTCTTGTATTGCTGGGATTGTCTAATTTTTGAAACTTATTAGATATAAATTTATACATGGCTTGGGGATGAAAGTTTTCAACGTGTGTTAACTATTAATGAAAGAGTTCTTTACTTTAATTACTGATTTTGGCTTATAATGTAACATAATTCATTGAAATGTATATGCCTTTCTTAAAATATGACTTGTGAATATTTTGTCTAAAGTATTTCTTCCTACCACTTCTTATTTGAAATTACTTTACCATTTTAATAACTATTTCTATGCATTTTTATAATTTCCACTCAAAACTAATATTTTGATGGGACCTTAAAAAAAGCAGTTTTATACTTTTTGATGCAATTAACTTAAAATGTATTTTTTTTGGCACTGAATATTTGTAGTAAGCTTTTGGGTCCTGAAATATTTTCTATGCTCAAGACTTTTAAAAAATTATATTCTTTGCAAAAATTTGAATGTTAGGTGCAGAAAAAAAAGATTTTGTAATTATCAAAACAGTTGTGTTTAAGTACATGTAATAAAATTTTCCATTTAGATTTCTACCCCCCCAGTGGCACAGCAGTGTGTCTGTGAATTTACAATGATAGAAACCAGATAGCCCATTGTGTAGATTTGTGCTTAACGTCAAACAAACAAAAAAATTTAGATTTCTTAAAACAATGTCAATAAATTATCTCCAGTTTTTTAAAGTTTTCATCTAATAGAATTATTTACCAATCAAAGTCTTTGAGAGAAGTGTAAATATAATATACATGTAATACTCAAAATGTGATAGGGATCACTTTATTAAATAAATATATCAGATAATAGATGACTTCAAAAATTTACTTCCTACCAACATGCTCTTAAACACAAACACAGACTCTACTGTACTCACATTTTATCAATGAGTCTTTACATAACTCGACATGAAATAGAATAACTATTAAAATGGAATATTTTTAGGTATATGGATAGTTTTTTAAAGTAATCATAAAACAAAATATTAGTACATCATATTAACAGCTAGTTTGTCTTTCAAAGACATTCATCACTGCAAGACATTGTCTCTAAATGCTTCTGATGAGTCTCTGGACAATTATTTGTAGCAGGTAGTCCAATTCCCTCCACATGTGAGTTCCTCAGCTCATGGAGAATCATGAGATGGGCTAAAACAGCAGGCCAGAAAGGATTCCAAATATGCTCAACTGAATTCATGTTTAGAGATCATGAACTGGCCACTTCATATGGACAGTAGTCTCCCTCTGAAGGAACTCTTCCACTACCTGAGCATGTGGTAGCCATAGTCATCCATAAGATGAAACATCACCAATGTCACCAGTGTACAGTCTCAAGTAAGTAACTACAATCACATCGCTGTACTACACAGCTGTCAAAGAGCCAGGACACATGAGGTGATATCTTTCCGTACTATGGTGTACTGACAAACCCTAATGATCATGTTCAGTTATTTCAGCTTTGTGATAATGCTCCTAACATAGTTTCTAAATTCTGGTATGATAATTTGCAAAGTCAAGACAAATCCTGAACTCATCCATGAAAAATGATGAGGTCAAATCTTGAGCAGTCCAAGTTAGGTGGTCTTGAGCCTAATCACAATTGTTTTGTTGTGACAGACTCCAGGTGCATTTTGAAAGTCACAAGAATGTTTCTGCATTAACTGGAAAGTGTCTAGATGAGCTTCTATGTTCAAGAAGCAGTCTTATCCTTGGTCCATCACTCTTTTTAACTCCCCCTCCATGCCCTCTCCTTACATTTTTATAAGTTTTATGTTGCTTTCAAGGAATGGAAACAACATTTGGACTCACACTAAGACACTCCAACTTGTAGCATAATAAAACCCACATTACGATTCCTCTAAACTAAACTACCTTTTGACACATGTCTCTTCCATAATTATATATTTTAAAACACATTTTTTCAACCTTTTTGTGCAATGGCTTAAACCTCCCTGTGGTCCAACACCAGTCCATGGACCAGCAATTTGGGAACACTGATGTAAGGCATTCCACAGAGCAATCACATGAAGAATTAAGTTACAGAAGGCAAATAATATTACATCAGAATGTCTTTAAGCATTCACCTTTTGTAATGCCCATACAATGGTTATTTATATCATGCCTATTGTTCCTAAATCAGACTGTACTTGAAGATCTATATCAAATATTTGCTCTTATAAGCCATAGTTTCTCAGGTTTTCTAATAAATATTCTTAATGAGTATTTTAGTAATAAGTACAGAATTAAAGGCAGTTTTGAGTTTCCCATATGATATAGAATTTATAATTGAGTAACTCATTAGTAACATGTATATAGTGATAATGTATGTTTGGCTGCCAAACTTAAAATAAACACTTGATCCGTTAAACTAGATAACCTTAACATTCAGAGTATACAGCTCCCACTTGTAAAACACTACAAAATATGTGGCACTGTCCAGAAAAACTGAGAGTCAAGCCATGGCAGAAAAGCAGTAATAATAATGAAGCAATTATCACTAAACATTTAACACTGAAAGCTAAATATTCAAATACATGCATCTTGAAGGCAAATAACAGAGATGGCAGATGGGCAACCTTTTATAGATAAATAGGTAAAACACTTACCTCCCCTAAACGATGATTGGAGCTGCTTTCCATGGATTCAGTCTTGGTTCTTGAATCAACTACGAAATGGTAGGGTGAATCAGATTCCGATTCCAGCAAAATATCATTGGAAAAAGGCTCATCCTGAACTTTATTACACCTGAAACAATATTAAATTTACAATTCCAGATGACTGAGTTTGATACCAAGGACACATTAAATACATTAAAGAATAGTGATAACAAATGAGACAGTGCAAAGTTGAGAAGGTGTTCTAAGACATTTTCATTACTACTCTATATATGAATATCATACAGCTTATATACTCCTCATTCTTAAAGCCATGAGTAGCCGAAAGGTTAACATATCAGGCTATACGGGTCAAGGGTCTAAAATGCAATGCTAATGAATGCTTTCATTGTTGGCACCATATAAAAGTGGGTGTCAATTATGTTATTCAGACTAACCCTTGTAGTTGCAGGTATTGTGAGCTAGCTGCTTTCCTACGTTCATTAATTCAAAAATTAGGGAGCCTGGCATGGTCTGATGATTAGGGCACTCGACTTGTAATCTGTGGGTCATAGGAGTAAACATACTACCCTTTCAGCCATGAGAGCATTGTAATGTGACAGTCAATCCCACTATTCATTGGCAAAGAAGAGCCCAAGAGTTGGCAGTGAGTGGTGTTGACTAATTGCCTTCCCTCTAGTCTATAACTACTAAATTAGAAACAACTGATGCAGATAGCCCTCGAGTACCTTTGCACAAAATATGACTCACAGATCAAATACACACACTTATAGGAAATAGCATAGGCTAGCATGCTCATTTTGGGATACATTAACTGTCTTACAAAAAAAAATCAAAACGTGCAACATAAACAATTAAAAAAACCTCAGAAATAAAAGTTCAATGTTGCTAAAAAGCTACAAGCACAAGTTATACTCAGCAGTTTCTTTGTCTAACTTTATTTGAAATTAAGGAAATTGTAATATTAGCTATAACAACAATAATAAACATCTACATAATCATGACAACAAAATTTTAGTAAATAACAATCCTGTAATGCTTTGTAATAACATACTTAGATATATCATAATAGTCTTTATAGGACTTATAATATCAAATAAGTGTGCAAAAGAACATTAAGTGGTTATAGTTAGTTACATCTGATAAACAGTTACCACACAAGTAGGTGTTTTTACGTTGATTTTTGTTTAAGATTGTCAGGGTACAGCTGTTTGAGAGGAACCAAGCTAAGAAGCATAATGTTCCTACCATAGATCCTACTCTTATGGAACTGTGTATCTGTTCCGTGCAGCCGATGAAGACACCTAAAACTCCGTAATGGGTAACAGAACAGCAGTCACACTTGCAATAATATTCATGCATACACTAGAAACTAAAGCCCTTGACACATGTAGGAAAAAAAAAAAGGTTTAATTCTAGAAGTGTGGTACAAGTACATCGACGACATATGTGGTATTTGGAATCATGGAAAAGAAACACTATATCAATTTTGCTATTTCATAAACAACTTCCACCCATTACTCAAGTTCCCACTATAACTACCCAACGCAGACGGAAACTTAACATTTTTGGAAGTAACCAGAAAAGTCCAAGAAAGACAAATACGTAGTTCTATGCATAACGAATAATTTAAGAAGCCGATATTTCTCCATTACAAATCACACCATCCAGACCAAATCAAAAGGGGTAGAATAATAGGAGAATTGAAGAAAGTAAACCTAAACTGCTCTACGCCGAATGCCATTCAAACAGCACAAAAATACTTTAAAACACCACTATTACGAAACGGATGCGCCGAATATTAATTACATCGACAATGAATTTAAATCACAAAGACATAAAAACATAAAACAGTAATAGACCCCACAACAAAAAACACATACACGAAAACACCCACAATAAACATTCCTTGTATAAGTAACACAATCACAACCAAGATTCGTAAAGCTATTAAACAATCCCAGCTGACAATCAACATAACGCAAAAACCAGGTAAAACACTGAAAGTACCATTAGTTTACTCTGCATATTCACAAACAAAATGTGCTGAAAAACAATGCTGTGCTAGAGAAAACGGGGCAGAACAAATGTGCCACATAAAAAACACAGTCTATCAAATCATATGTAACATATGTAGAGACGCATATATATAGGATAAACCGGAAGACCTTTTCATACGCGCATCTCAGAACACATCAATACATTATATACGTATGGCCAAAACAATTCCGCCCCAGAAGAACATTTCCTATAAAAAAAAATGAAACCCCCAAACACAGAAAATCAAACCCATTTAAAATTCCTATCTTACAAGAAACCAAAGATTTAAAAAAAGAAAATATATGGAAGCTACACTCATTAACGGCAAAAAAAAAAATCCAAAAATGAACAGAGACAGTGGATGCTACATGTAACTAAACCACTATTCAAAACAGCACATCATACCAGTACACTTAATATTATCACTTTTAGTTTAGTACTTGCGTACTCTGGCGTATCACAAAGTCTTACAATTTGTTTTAGCACTGCTAGTAAACTTTGTATTTTTGTTTCTTAGTAGCTTCTATCTTCCGTTTTTAAAATAAAATATTTTGTAATTCTCTTTATTTTATATAAGTAATATATGTCATATGCTAGTACAGCTGTAAAGTTAGTATTATAACAATATTATAATATTAGAACAATATTGAAACAATAATAATATTCTTTACATTGTTACGGAAGACGCGAGAAATATAACATCACATGTAGTTTTATAATTTAATGAATATTCTAATATCAAACAGTTTTATGTACTAGCCCCGAAGAAGCAGCAAAGGCGAAACGTTGGTTAAAATATAAGTTCTCTTTTAATTATCTGGAGTGTCAAGGTATATTTTTTATAACTTTATTATTAACTGTGTTAGAGACTTAGAGTGCAACCTCAGAAATGTGATTTGTGAAATTGTAAATTCCAAAATAAAAATTTATTTGAAAGCCCAAACAAAACACTTTAGAAGTCTACATCTATACAATATTAGTAAAAATTGTTAATCTAAAAAGGGAGAATAGGGATCGTCAAAGAAATAATAATACTGAAACAAGGTGAATTAGAATGCAACTAGCTCCACTAAAATTGATAAGTAATGTAGACATGGTGTCAAAATAGGGATTTGTAGCTTGAGAAAATGATGTAAACACTATTTCCAGCCTTGTTTATTTACTTTTTTTAGAATCCCTAATTGTAGGTTTGTTTGTTTTTAATTATGCACAAAGCTACACAAGGGCTATCTGTACTCTGCCCACCACGGGTATCGAAACCCGGTTTCTAGCGTTGTAAGTCCGCAGACATACCGCTGTGCCACTGGGGGCCTTTAATTGTAGACTTGAAAATATAATCTTTGTATTTTGATTCAACTTGTTTCTGTACTTTTGTGACAATCCCAATTCTCCATTTTTAAATTAACAGTTTTTATCTGTTTGTTATGAATTTCGCGCAAACTATACGAGGGCTATCTGCGCCAGCCGTCTCTGATTTAGCAGTGAAAGACAGTCATCACCTACCACTGCCAACTCTTGGGCTACTCTTTTAACAACGAATAGTAGAATTGACCGTCACATTATAACGCCCTCACGGCTGAAAGGGCGAGCATGTTTTGCGGGACGAGGATTCGAATCCGCGACCCATAGACTGCGAGTCGAGCGCCCTAACCACCTGGCTATGCCAGATCAACAGTTTTTGAAAAACTTTTTTCTTAAGTTTTTATGTCCATATATGAAGAATAAATTTTAAGTTACATACATGCTTATGCATTCAATTGAATGTTACATGTTTTTCAACAGTTTATTGCTGCACTGGCCTTTTTTTTTCGCCCAACCACCACACTGAACTTATTCGAAATAAATATTAATTGTACAAATAAACACATATACTGGTATACAACTACAACAAACAAAATGTAAAGTTGTCTTCGAAGGGCCCTCTTGAAGGCAAAGATTCTATCATCACAGATTTAACGACCAGCTTCCATCAATGTCACACTGTGACAGTGTAATGTAACAAAAGACAAGCAGCAACAAAGCAATCTCATCAGAATGGAATAATGTTTCTTCTAAGATAATACAACACAGATTAATGCAAAGCAAAGAGACTCAGTAACATGTTTACCTTGTTAGATATACATGACACACCTGTATGTTCTTTAACAGCCTGCTGTACACAAGTGTTTGCTAGAATAAAGCAACACAATAAATGCATGCAAAATAGACAACAGCGACACACTTAGCGTAAGTCTCCAATTATCGACAATTTACAACTGCTGCCCTAACACGAACTATTCAAAAAATAATAATAACTATATGAAATAGTACTATATGCAGTGGTAATAAATACTGGATACGCACCCACGATTTTAGCTAAGTATAAGAAAGAGTAGAAAGAATCACCACTATTACCTGAGTAGTTTTGGTGCAAAACATCCAGCCGATTTTGCCGTAGACTAGTGAAACAATAATATTATTAATACTAATAATATGAACAAATGGGCAAGTTTTGATTTTGTCTAACAATCGTGAAATCACTTATTTTGCTTATTATCAATGTTTAGGCAGTTTTAACTATTGGACAGGAAGGTTGTAAATGTTGTTTCAAATACTACAAATCCCACTCTCCTAAAGTATATATGTCATACCTACAAAATTAAATTTTTCTAAGTTCTAATTTGAAACACTTTTAAATACGTTCGAGCTCATTTGTTAAATTTCGCATTTGATAGGTGTTAATTTTAGTTACAGGATCTGATCACTGAAGCTACCTGTTACTGTTCTTACATGGGATAATTGTGTCAATCAAATTTAGCGGGTATTCAGGTGAAATATCAGGGGGCGTTCGAAAATTAACAATTCTCCTTCATCCCGCAGGTTGTTAGTTTAATTTGTTAACGAGAAAAAACAAAACAAAAAAAACGTAGTAATAAAACGCGTTTCGCGTTCTTTGAGTTGAGAGAGAAAAAAATGTTGATAAGCTGTAACAGACGAAAAGGAAACAAGAAGGCAACTAACTAGATGTATCCTAATTTACTTTTTCTTTTTATAAGAAGGACCGCTTTTCGTACTGT